CTATCTCAATCTAATCATATTTCCTACGTGAGTGTAGATTGGTAACCCTTTAACAACTCATACTGTGTATGGTACATAAGAGGTTTCAACTATCTCAATCTAATCATATTTCCTACGTGAGTGTAGATTGGTAACCCTTTAACAACTCATACTGTGTATGGTACATAAGCGGTTTCAACTATCTCAATCTAATCATATTTCTTCCTTTTGAGTCGTATCACTTGTACATGACACGTGAACATGAACTTGAAAGAGAAATCCGCCATTACTATCACCATCCATCTTGTTCCATGAACTACTTACAGTAGTAATGATTGAAAACTAGTTGGGACTTTTTTCCAGCTCCTTGTGGTTACTATGACAAGTTATGTCATGGCTCTTATTTGGTCAGTTTATTAAGTATACTTTCTGCTAAAGTGGTCAGACCCTGTATAAATATATTATTTATTTGAAACACTATAAAAGAGTTGATAAGAACCATACTCACTCATGTAAGAGAGGTCTTGCTACTGTTGAGCCTGTGGTGTGAGACAAGTAGAAGAGGGTGTACAAATATGGCAGAAGTTGGTAGCGAGCAGTCACGGCTTGTCGTGTAGCCCTTATCACTTTCTCTCCCATCGCTACTGGATCCTGGGCCTGAAAGAAACCCAAACGTAATACATAGATATATGTGGAAGCAACTGACGCAAATAATGGATAGACATACATTAAAGAAACAAACCACATTTGGATAGCCCATGGGTATATGTGTGTGTGTGCAATGCACCTTTAAGGAACATACTAAAACTGGATAGCACATGGATATGTTTGCGATGCACCTTTAAGGAACATACTAAAACTGGATAGCACATGGATATGTGTGCGATGCACCTTTAAGGAACATACTAAAACTGGATAGCACATGGATATGTGTGTGATGCACCTTTAAGGAACATACTAATACTGGATAGCACATGGATATGTGTTCGATGCACCTTTAAGGAACATACTAAAACTGGATAGCACATGGATATGTGTGCGATGCACCTTTAAGGAACATACTAAAACTGGATAGCACATGGATATGTGTGCGATGCACCTTTAACTAAAATTCTATTTTATCAGTTCTGTTGCATCACAGGCTACTTCAGTATAAAAACTATATAACCAAAAAAAAACTGAACACTTTTTTAAAAGCAATAAATTGAAGTTTAAAATTTATATAAATTAAACCATTTTTATTATTTGAAATTCACTTTTTATTTTAAAAACATTCAGCTTACAAAATTATCTTAAATTTACATTTAGAATCAAAACCTAATTGAAATGTTCCTTAAATTAACATGAACATTAAAATAATTATAATAAAATACACATAATTTCACAGACCACAGATAATATTTTTGAAAAATGCTTTGCTATTTTTATCATTAATAATCTTAATGTTTCTTTGAGATCTTCTACAGTATACTTAATGTATATCTAAAACACATAACTCGTTTTTTCTTCGACATATCTAAACGTTTTGGCAACCAAAGATATTCCGATAATTCACTAAGTGTTATTGGAATATTTTACAGTTACCCAGTTTGTGTAACCTGAAATTTCTCAATAAATTTATGGTTTTTATAGTATTTGTACTGTGACGCCATTAAACCAGTTAGATATTAAAAGGGTTTGGTAAATATAGGACTCAAGCTCTCTTATACACATTCTCGAAAGGAGAGATCCAAATTTAGAGTGTATTAGAATGTGATTCCTGAAAAAAAGATAAAATTATGCATGATATATATTTATTAAAAATCAAACCTTACTCTGAATCCTTTAGCATTGTCGTTCCTAGAGAAAAGAAAAACTAGATAAAGTGTATAACTACTAGAAATGAACTTACTCTGAATCCTATAGCATTGTGGTTCCTGGCAAAGGGATAAAATGCACCGACCTGGTTCCACCTTGCACATAGTTCCTCTGTGGTGTCCTCCCAAAATCCACAAATATCTGATCCAATCTGATAAAAAAAAATTACATTTTTACTAATATCATTCTGACAGTAAGAACAATATCTATACTAACAGCATGGTTCTTAAATATACCAACAATTGTTTTTTTACTAATCTCATTCTGACAATAGCAACAATATTTATACTAACATCATGGTTCTTAAATATACCAACAATTATTTTTTACTAATATCATTCTGACAGTAGCAACAATATTTATACTAACATCGTGGTTCTTAAATATACCAACAATTATTTTTTACTAATATCATTCTGCCAGTAGCAACAATATTTATACTAACAGCATGGTTCTTAAATATACCAACAATTATTTTTTACTAATATCATTCTGACAGTAGCAACAATATTTATACTAACATCATGGTTCTTAAATATACCAACAATTATTTTTTACTAATCTCATTCTGCCAGTAGCAACAATATTTATACTAACATCGTGGTTCTTAAATATACCAACAATTGTTTTTTTTACTAATCTCATTCTGACAATAGCAACAATATTTATACTAACATCATGGATCTTAAATATACCAACAATTATTTTTTACTAATATCATTCTGCCAGTAGCAACAATATCTATACTAACAGCATGGTTCTTAAATATACCAACAATTATTTTTTTACAATATCATTCTGACA